CGTTCCTTGTTAGTTGCGTTCCTAGGTATTTTATTCTCTTTGTGGCAATTGTGAATGGAAGTTTGTTCTTGATTTGGCTCTCTTTAAGTCTGTTATTGGTGTATAGGATTGCATGTGATTTTTGCACATTGATTTTGTATCCTGAGACTTTGCTGAAGTTGCTTATCAGTTTCAGGAGATTTGGGGCTGAGACGATGGGGTCTTCTAGATATACATTCATGTCATCTGCAAATAGAGACAATTTGACTTCCTCCTTTCCTATTTGAATGCCCTTTCTTTCTTTTTCTTGCCTGACTGTGCTGGCTAGAACTTCTAGTACTATATTGAATAGGAGTGGTGAGAGAGGGCATCCTTGTCTGGTGCCACATTTCAAGGGGAAGGCTTCCAGTTTTTTCCCATTCAGTATGATATTGGCTGTTGGTTTGTCGTAAATACCTTTTATTACTTTGAGATACGTTCCATCAATACCTAGCTTATTGAGCGTTTTTAGCATAAAGGGCTGTTGAATTTTGTCAAAGGCCTTCTCTGCATCAATTGAGATAATCATGTGGTTTTTGTCTTTGGTTCTGTTTATGTGGTGAGTTACGTCTATAGACTTGCATATGTTGAACCAGCCTTGCATCCCCGGGATGAAGCCTACTTGATCATGGTGTATAAGCTTTTTGATATGCTGTAGCAATCGGCTTGTCAGTATTTTATTGAAGATTTTTGCATCTATGTTCATCATGGATATTGGCTTGAAGTTTGCTTTTCTTGTTGAGTCTCTGCCGGGTTTTGGAATCAGGATGATGTAGGTCTCATAAAATGATTTGGGAAGAATTCCCTCTTTTTGTATTGTTTGGAATAGTTTCAGAAGAAATGGTACCAGCTCCTCTTTGTATGTCTGGTAGATTGCAGCTATGAACCCATCTGGACCTGGGCTTGTTTTGGGTGGTAAGCTCTTAATCGCTGCCTCAACTTCAGACCTTGTTATGCGTCTGTTCAAGGTTTCGGCTTCTTCCTGGTTTAGGCTTGGCAGGAGGCAAGGGTACAGGAATTTATCCATTTCTTCCAGGTTTATTAGTTTGTGTGGATAGAGTTGTTTGTAATAATCTCTGATGATGGTTTGAATTTCTGTGGAATCTGTGGTGATATCCCCTTTTTCGTTTTTTATTGCATCAATTTGGTTATTCTCTCTTTTCTTTTTTATTAATCTGGCTAGTGGTCTGTCTATTTTGTTGATCTTTTCAAAAAACCAGCTCCTGGATTTATTGATTTTTTGAGGGGTGTTCTTTGTCTCTATCTCCTTCAGTTCTGCTCTGATCTTAGCTATTTCTTGTCTTCTGCTACACTTTGAGTTTTTTTGATCTTGCTCCTCTAGCACTTTCAGTTTTGACGATAGGGTGTCAATTTTTGATCTCTCCTTGCTTCTCATATGGGCACTTATTTCTATATATTTTCCTCTAGAGACTGCTTTAAATGTGTCCCAGAGATTCTGGTATCTTGTGTCTTCATTCTCATTGGTTTCGAAAAACATCTTTATTTCTGCCTTCATTTCATTGTTTATCCAGTCAACAATAAAGAGCAAGTTGTTCAGTTTCCATGAAGCTGTGGGGTTCTGGGTTAGTTTTTGAATTCTGAGTTCTAACTTCATTGCACTGTTGTCTGAGAGAGTGTTTTGTTAGGATTTCCTTTCTTTTGCATTTGCTGAGGAGTGATTTACTCCCAATTGTGTGGTCAGTTTTAGAGTAGGTGTGATGTGGTGCTGAGAAGAATGCATATTCTGTGGATTTGGGGTGGAGAGTTCCGTAAATGTCTATTAGGCTTGCTTGGTCCAGGTCTGAGTTCAAGTCCTGGATATCCTTGTTTATTTTCTGTCTGGTTGATCTGTCTAATGTTGACAATTGTATGTTAAAGTCTCCCACTATTATTGTGTGGGAGTCTAAGTCTCTTTGTAAGTCATTAAGAACTTGCCTTATGTATCTGGGTGCTCCTGTATTGGGTGCGTATATATTTAGGATCGTTAGCTCTTCTTGTTGCATTGATCCTTTTACCATTATGTAATGTCCCTCTTTGTCTCTTATGATCTTTGTTGCTTTAAAGTCTAATTTATCAGA